CCCCACAAAGCACGGCTCCCATTGGCAAGAGCCAGGCCAGAGCCGGTCTGGGAGATGCCCAAGGAAGCAGCAGCCACATCTGAGCGGCAGGGCAGAGGAGGGTGGCTGCAGGGGCTCCCGGCAGCGGCTCCTCTGGTTCCAGAGCAGCCCACACCTCTGGCACTGGCAGCTGTCACAGACCCCGGCGCCGCCTGAAGAGTGCTGGCGCCCTCCAGTGGCCACAACTGCCGTCAGCCGCCAACAGAAAGTTTGGCAGAAAGTTTGCAGGACTCCAGCTGTGTGACTTCACAGTGGCCAGAGAGGCGTCTGGGCCACAGCAGGACGGTGAGGTGTGGGGCGTGTCTCTTCCCACACTCACGGCCACACACTCGCCTTGCCCTCCTTTCCCAGGTGCGCAGCCCGCGTCGGGAATGACAGACTTCCCCAAGAGGAAGCGAGTCCAGAGCTAGCAAGCCTGTACTGGGCATGGGTCTGCCACGAGACATGCCTGCGGGGCTGGGAAAATCTACTCGGAACTCTGAGCAGCCGCTCTGCAAAGGTGAAGGGATAGCCAGGTGAACTAGGAAATCTGCGGGCGCAACCGCAGGGAGCTCCAGGTGGCCTGGTGAGCGAGGAACAACCCAGGCAGCCAGGAGACCTCATCCATCCCCATCTCCGGGGACCTTGAGCCATCATGGACCACACCCCCTGCTACCCCTTCTGCACCTCCATCCTCGCTTCTACCTCTCCCCACGCCTGCCCTCACCCTCCTTTCCCCCAGAGAACCCTTGTTTCCTGCAGTCGGTGAGACTCTCGGTGCTGAGACGTGTCCACCGAGTCCGCTGGCCCCTTTCCCGCCCAGTCCTGAGTCCAACAGCTCTGAATGAAGTCCTACCGCCACCTGGTGCTCACATCCGGAGTGCGCGGCACCGCCACGCCCGGAATCCTGGGGCAGGTGGAGCCTGGTCCAAGCTAACCAGATTGTGCAGTCTGGACCCTAGGGAAAGCTGAGGCTGATAAAGCTCAAGGTGCTGGTCCTGCACGTGAATGCTCCCGTGTGCAGGGAGGCTGTGAGTGGCGGACAGCTCTCAAGTGAGCTGGCAGGGGTTCCCGCTGAAAGTCCACGGGCCATCTGGATAGGGACAGACGCCTTAGAAAAACAAACATCTGTATATTTAGACCTACCCTAGGCTGTACACCGTCATTTCTTCATCTGTCCCCGAAAGGTGAGGGCGTTCAATGCAGACCCAGGCACAGAGTGCATGGCGGGGAGGCACAGAGCTGGAATCTGAACCAAGGCAGCCTCAGCTAGATTCCAGACACGGGATCAGGAAGCTGCCGGCACCTGGGCCACGCGCACAGACAAAGGCAATTCAGTCGAAACCGTCCCAGGCAAGACTTTACCTTTCCGAGAAACTGTGTGCTGGCCACCCACGGCTCGGTCCAGAAAGTAAACAAGCAAGGTGAAATGGCCTCCCCCATCGCCTTCCAAGGCCTTCTTTCTTCTTTCTTCTTTACCCTGAGGTGTAGCGCTAACACTGGCTCAGGCCCCACGGACACCCCTACCCCGAGCAGCTGCAGCCCCTTGGCCTGGATTGGGGGCAGGGAGGGCAGGGGGTGGGGGAGAAGTCTGCCGGAGGCAAGTAATGTCCCGGGAAAGCCTTGACTATTTTTTTTTTTTAATTTTGATAACAAGCAAGTCCCAGCACATAGCACATTGCCTTGCTTCTCCCTCCCCTCACTCGTCATGACTCCACCCACCCCCAAGCATGGAGACAGACAGGATTCAGCGCCCCCCACATCAGGGACCTGAACATGCAGGAACAAGGTCAAGGAAACGGTGTGGGCAGCAGCTGGGCACACTGCCCCTGCTCCTGCCCCACGTTCTTCCAACTCCCACTGTATCAGATGACCAGTTCCTGCTTATACCTACCAAGCTGGCAGCTTAGTCCCTGGCAAGGAGCTGCACTCAGGGGCCATTGCTGTCCAACTCCCCTGACACCAGCAAACTCCCATTTGAGGCCTCACACAGCTGCTACTTTTTCCTTGTAAGTAAGGGCACGTGCTTCGAGCCCTTGCATTCTACCAAGTAACAAAGCAGAAGATGCAAGCCCCAGATGACAAGACCCCTGAGCCGTGGCCCCTGTGCCAGGGCTGATCAGGCAGGTGGAAGTGTGGCGAAGAAGGCCACGCGAGCCGTCTGAGTGTTCTCTCTCCATCACCTGCTCCCTGTTTCGCGCAGGGACGAAGGTCCAAAGCCGCCACCTCTTCCACTGCCTTGAGCAAAGGCTTGAAGTTGGCAAGGAAAGTGGCTAACACCTTCCACATTAACTCTGTCTCTGATCACTCCAAGTTAGCCACGCCAGGCGGGCATGTAGGCTTAAGAGTCCGTGGCCCAAGGATGCAGCCATGCCAGTGTGGTTGGGTGAGATGTTGGAGGGATTCCTGCCCCCACCATCTGCTGCTAACCCTGTTGGGCTGCCCTGCTGCCCCCAAACCTGCAAGTGGCTAAGCAGTCAGGTTCCTCCTCCTCCTCCTCTTATGATGGGGGTCATCAAACTGGGAACCACAAATGTTCCATCCCCCACACCCTGGAGTGATACAACATTGACAAGACGTCCAAGCCTGTTTCTGATTGCACATCCAATACAAAGGATGCTCATGAGGGGGTCCCTGCCATGGGCAACTGGAGCTGCGTCCACCAGGCAAAGAGCTGGCCATCCACGGCTCGGTCCAGAAAGTAAACAAGCAAGCTGTGAAATGGCCTCACCCACTGCCTTCCAAGGCCTTCTTTCTTCTTTCCTCTTTACCCTGAGGTGTAGCGCTAACACTGGCTCAGATGTCATGCACACCCTCCACTGAGGCTCCCCCTAGCACTTCAGACAGGGCCAGACAGCAGGCTGGGATGGGATTCACCATGCCTGGAAGGGGTGTAGGCATGTCCTGACTGAAAACCGAGGGTCCAGGATGCAGCCTGTCCAGCAGGGGAGGACGTGGGCCTGGCCATTCTTCCTAGCCACAGAGCCCAGTGACTGTTCCGGCCCAGGCCACACAGAAGCACGCTTCAGTACAAGCCCGGCTGAAGCCTCTTTGTGCCCCAAACACCTACTGAGTCGATGCCACTTTTAAGTTCAAAGTTAAAGGTATTGGCTCTTCCAGGCCCGTCCACAGCAGGGTTGCTGAATGCCTCCACTGAGCATGGACAAACCACAAAGTTGAAGGTCAAGTTTGAACAGCAGCCACCTGACCTGCTGGCAGCACAGCCTTGAGTGACAGCAGACATCAGCTTCGCTTTGGGACTGTTGCGAGCCATCAGCCTGGGATCTGGTACCAGTCATTGTTGAGGCTAAGCTCTGTGTCGTGGCAGGCATGCCACACAAGGCCTCCTGCTCCCCTCCTGCTCAATTCTGTGCAAGAGGCCTTCTCTGTGGGCTTCTGCGAAGCCCCGTGCTAAACTGTCCTTCATGAACACCCTTGCTGACCTGCTTCTGTCCATTGTGCCAGGGCGAAGGCAGGCTGTGCCCAAGAGGCACTGAGCCCAGGGCCTCACTGCGGGAGCACCAATGGATCCTGGGGTGAGCATGCCTGGCACTTGCTTCCCTGCAGCCAAGGGACTTCTGGTTCCACACCATTATGCAATTTGCCAGGCTCCACATCAATCTGGTGCCCGGCCTCCACTCCCCAGGAGGGAAGCGTGGAGGTTATGCCGACATGTTCATGCTCCCTTGGGCTGCTGCAGCTCACTGCACTGAAAGGGATGGTGCTTCTGGTCCAGGGTCTTTGAACCCAGGGAGTGAGTGTGGGAAACTTCACACCCCAAAACTTGGGTGGGCTGAATAGAAGATAACGCAGCCTGATTTCTTTCCCAGTACAGCTTCTGGCCCGACATGTCTGGGCCTCTTAAGAAACCTTTCCCGCCAGGAGGAAACTGCCTCTCCTGGGCTAGCCAGCCCTCAGAGATGGCCTTCAGACCCCTGCAGGCATCTGGGGAGGGAGCTAGCAGACAGGAGAGCCACTAAGAAAACTTAAGAGATCTTTACAGCTATCCAAAAGACTGTTCTTATGATGTGACAATTACTAAAATGTAAATGTCTGTCTTTCCAAATGTTTGATCTAACTTTGAGATTTGTGCCACAGTAAAATATTCATATACGTACGTATGTATATGTGTGTATGTGTACATATATGTGTGCATGTGTGTGCACTGGAGTTTAATAAACTTAGGTAAGAGCCTATCGAGTATTTTTTTAAAAAAAGATTTATTGGGGCCCGGCGCGGTGGCGCAAGTGGTTAAAGGTCCTCGCCTTGCACCCCCGGGATCCCATATGGGCGCCGGTTCTAATCCCGGCAGCCCCGCTTCCCTTCCAGCTCCCTGCCTGTGGCCTGGGAAGGCAGTCGAGGACGGCCCAAGGCTTTGGGACCCTGCACCCGCGTGGGAGACCCAGAAGAGGCTCCTGGCTTCGGATCGGCATAGTATCGGCCCGTTGCGCTCACTTGGGGAGTGAATCATCGGACGGAAGATCTTCCTCTCTGTCTCTCCTCTCTCTGTATATCCGCCTTTCCAATGAAAAAATAATAAAAATAAATCTTTAAAAAAAAAAAAAAAAAAAGATTTATTGGAAAGGCAGAATTAAAGAACAATTTTTAAAAGAGAGGGAGAGACAGAGAAAGAGAGATATTCCACCTGCTGGTTCACTCCCCAAGCAGCTGCAATGGCTGGGGCACACTGAAGACAGGGGCTTCACTGGGTCCCCTGTGCAGCACCGGGGCTGAAGCACCTGGGCCATCTCCCTCCACTTCCCCAGGTACCACAGCCGGGAACTGCATTAGCAGTAGAGCGGCCAGGACTCGAACCAGCACCCACATGAGATGCCAGTGTGACAGATGGCAACTTGACCCACTAAACCACAGGGCCCACCTTTCATTAAGTGTTTTTAATAAAACTGTATGTAAACTCAAACATGACACTGGCTCGTAAAATGAATTATGTAAGGAATCTTTACAAATCAAAGACAAATATATGTTTAATTTTTGGTTTATTATGACAAAACTACATTTCTGTGCTTCCCACAACACATTAACAGGCAGAAAAATCAACATTTTCAAGTCAGTTTTGCTCACAAAAATCACGCAGTGTTATTTTACAGTACTTCATAGCAATTATTTTACACAACCTAACATTCCTTTGTATAACTGGCAAATACCTTAACACCCTCCATCAAGACGTCAGAGCTCCAGCTGCTTAGAAAATGAAGTTCCAGTCTCTCTCCAATGCAGTCATTAGTCTGTGTTAAACTGCAATGCCACAAGCTCACAGGTCTCTAAAAATAGTGTTTTAAAAAATAGATTTACATCCCGTACTAAGTCTCAGAAACCTCAGCAACATGGCATTTTTCTAAGTATTAGATCTTTCTGTAGATAAAAATCTGCATTTAACTGCACAGTTCCTGCTAGATCTGCAATAAAGCCCTGATTATCTACCCCAATTAAACCTTATATGTATTAATTCTGCTTTCAGTGGAAAAGCCAGCCCATGAATAACTGAGCCTGCAGCAAAGGGCAGAGCACGCGTCACCTAGAGCAAGGTACGCATGCGTATTCTCTCCAGGGTGTAGGCGCAGAGGCACCCAGCGCAGCACTGGGTGGCGTGTCTCAGTGCCACACCGTACTGTCCCTGTAAGCAACTCCCTCACACAGGGCTGCCGAGCGTTTTCCGCGAGACACCAGTGAGAGGGTCCGAGGTGTCCCAGAGGGCAAAGGACACGAGCTCCAACAGATTGGGAAATGCTGGGTTAGACAGGCTAAGAGTGCCGAGTCCCGACGGCTAACGGGCACCACGTACGTCCTGGGGCAAACGGGGCTTCCGGACAAGGACACCCGTGGGACTGCCCTCTGCATCCTGGTGCCTGAGGACTCCACAGCCTGCACGGCCACTCCCTGCGGTCTGCCTTTCCCACTCTCACTGTCACCTGCGTGCATCTGGGAAGGAAAAAACGGCGTGCCTTCTCGGTGCTTAGTTCCACTTAGCTCCACGCACGCCATTCCCAACTCTGCCCTTTTAGTTTTTTTCCTTGACATGTTAAGAGAGCCAATTTCCTTCTTGTCTGATTTACATGGAACATTGTCATTTTAAAGACAAAGTGCAGTTTCCTATTGCTTGTTTGACTTGACTCAGTCTTACCCTGAAGCGCAAGCATTTCGGTTTCACAGAAATGCAAGAGAGTAAACCGGGAGTAAGTGATGACGAGCACCTCGTGTGTTTAACCTGACAAGGAAGCCATTCGCTGCGGGGAAGCAACGGGAGGATGAGCACAGTGCTATCTCACAGCCTCACCATGATGCGTTCTCTTTTCCGGTAATGAGGCACTGAAGAACGAGCTGTGCTAAAATTAATTCAAGGGTCAGCTTGTCTACATGAGCATTAACTTTGGTTGAGATCATGTTTTTCTTTTTTAGAAAAGGTTTCAGAAGCACCAGGTAATTACAAAAAGCATGCACATTTACCCTCCCAGTGAGTGAAGTGGCAGCATTGCCAACGAATGACACATTGCGTTCCCCAATGGCAACCGACGAGATGGCTGGAAAGCGGATGAGGCAGAGCAGCGCTGAGGCCGAAGCTGCAGTGTGCCCGCTCAGGGCGGCGAGGCAGCAGCTCCGTGCAGACTGACGGGCAGGGCGGCACCGCCTGCAGGAGGGCAGGCCCAGCCGACAGGGCACCGGAAAAACCCTGGATTCACAATTTGAAGGATGACAGAAGACGCACCAGGGAAATGACCGATTCCCCAGACAGCAAACATGCAAAGGAATAAATAAATAAGACTCCTTGGGACTCGCCCAAGTGCGGCCAAGAAAAGCAGTGTTGCAGCCCCAGTGTAACACGGAAGGCTGAGGGCGAGCGCTCCATCCCACAGAGGGCAGCCACGCTGCCAAGGAGCTCCTGCAAACAACTCCTGCCTTCAAACGCAGAACATGACAAGAGTCACGAGGGGACCACCGCAGCCCAGCATCTCCGCTCCACGTGGCAGGCAGGAGAGCTGGCACAGCGTGAAACACCGACCCGCCTTCCTCCCTCTCCCAACACACAGGATTCACAAGATACTAGTAGCATCTAGAAGCCGAGCATAAGAAAGTACAAAAGTTCATTCTTGGTACTTTTAAATTCAAAAGAGTCTATGCAATATTTATCAGCAAAAAAAAAAAAAATCCTGATTCCATAATTATCATGGAGAAAGAGGACAATAAACTCTTAGAAAAACTCTTAAATTACGTAATCTTTAAATTGCCGTAATCACCACAAGTAACAATTGTGCGCCCTGTCACACAAAAGCACCTAGCCGTCTGCGACAATTTGTCACGGGCATGGTGACTATGTGGCGTTGGGGCTTAGGCAGACAATCTACGTACATTTCTAAAGAACCACGGTTTTGTTCTTTTGCTCACAGCTCAAAACCCACAGATACTTCCAACTCGTACCACTGAGTGGATTCAGCACGTTCATGGCACAGGTTGCCCACTGACCAGTCTCATGGGTCCCAGTCCCTGTGCCTCGGGTGCAGTGTAGACTCTGTGTGCCAGGCTCCTTCCTGCATGCCATGCTCTGCAGAGTCCAGCAGGCCCGGCTGGCTGCATTCGAAAAGCAGCTCCGACAAAGACTTGTAACCTTGAGGCAGGTGCCATTTGAGGGCCAGAAGTGACACAGACAAAAAACTGGAGATTTTTTTTTTTTCTTAGATACCTGCTGGTCTTTTAAAATGAAATGGCACTTCTCTATATGAGCTAAAGTTTTCTGGCCAGGTTTAACTGGCATTCTCTCAGCAAATTTACCTCTCAATTTCCGTCCTACATCATCTAGTGTCTTTTGCCATGCAGCTCTGGAGGTGCCTTCTAATTCTGACCACACAGCACAGCACAGCACAGGGCTTCCTGGCCTGGAGAGGTGGGAAGAAAGGTGCTCCCCGCCCCCCAGGTAAATGCAGCTGCTAGCAACACATCTGGAAACAAGCGGAGAGATGGGGCAGTGATGTTTTAGAGAGCACTGGCCAGGAACCCCACAGTTTCAGTGACTGACCCGTCAGCACTGAGCACATCACACGGGATCCAGTTCTGGGACACAACCACGTTTCTCTGTCCACCATAGTAATTAGTCCTTTAAAGTGTCACTAAAATGCAAAACTTTAATAAATTTTTCAAATAAATTACTGAGATTTCATCTAGCCACCTACTGGTGAGGAGCTGTGAGCGGAGGCCGGGGGGTGCGGGGCCCCCAAGTGTTATCTGCCGGCTGTCGCTTTGGCCCAGCGTGCGGAAGGTCCCGGGGCCGAGGAGGGAGAAGGCACTTGTCTTCTAGATCACCATGGGGACAGGAAGGCCTGACCACGCGGCGGCACCTGCAGCTCTCGGGTTGGGGGCCAGAGCCTGCCACGAGCTCAGCTCGTGTCCTTCACTTGCCAGAGGTGCCACGGGCTGCCTACAGCACCACAAAACTCAGAATATATTCCAGGAGCTTCTGCCGGTTGCCTTGAGGTAGGAACGTGCTGCTCAGTTCTAAAACAGACACCCTCTTTTGTTTGGTCTCTTTGAAAACCTAAGGAGAAAGTTTAGATTACATTGAAGGTTAAAAAAAAAAATAACCAGCAGGGGATGACCTGCCACCCTGACCTGTGTGTCCCAGGCCCCAGTAAAGGCATGGAAAGGAGTGTGCAAGGAGTGGGGAACTTGGGGTGCAGCTGCGGTATTTTCTGGGTACACGTCGGCTGGTGTACTATACTTTCAGGTTTATGTTAGAAAACAATCACGAATAGTGTCTTAGAAACAGGCCACGAGGGCGTCTCCATGGAGGCTCTACAAGATGAAGGAACCTGAGGCTATTTCTAGCAAGATTTGCAAAAAAAAAAAAAAAAAAAATACCCCCAGAAAAAGTCACAAACACACACACGGGAAATTGAATGGAATAAAGGGAAGCCAGAACTGCTTCCCGTGCAGTCTGGCCCACTGCAAAGCAGCTCAGGAAGACCCAGTGTAAGGAGAGCAGAAGCTATTCCAAGCCTTTGCTGCAGGCACGGGCCACCTACCCCGATATCCTTGAACATTTTCACGGCATTCTTCACGAGGCAGTACGTGGCGCTCTCAGCTGCAGAGAGAGAACAAGGCCCCATCAAATGCTGCGGCCTGGCACCAGGGCAAGTCCCCCGATGGCACAGGAAGAAGGCAGGGGAAGGCAGGGAGCGTGTGAGGCAGGGCCCCGGACCGAGCCAGCTCCGTGTCCGCTGCCGGCGGCCGAGGGGTCCCTGATGACTTGCTTTCTTTCCACTGCCTTTGTGGTCTGCTCAGTGAAGAAAGAGGAAGGGGAGGGAGGAGGAGGAAGCAAGGAGAAACACTCAACCAGAGAGTTTATGAGCATGAAATGACCTAGTGACTGACGGTTCCACACCACACTGCGGATCTTTGAACAGCAGAGAGGCCAGAGCGCACACGAGGGTCAGAAACAACAGCTTCACGTCCAGGTTTGCCCATGAACCAAGCACCCTGGACGGCTTTCTCACCCACGCGGCCAGGGGACAGCATCAGATCACCTTTACACCTCTTCCGGCTCCACCAATGGATGTAAAGTGGTTTCAGTCCCAAACCACAATTGTATAAAATGGTTCTCCGTGCCAATCACCTCTTATCAAGAGATGCATTAACAGATGATGCCAAGGGCTGACCGCTGACCGGGATATGGAGCAGCCGAGCCCACATTGTTGCTCGGAGTGCAAACGGGTCTAAGCACCCCCACACTGCCAGGCAGTCTCCACTGGAGCAGAATACACTGGGAGCCTGTGACCAGGCAATTCTATTCCTACAGGTGTGCATACACAGAGCACAGACGCTCGTCCCTAAACACGTCAACATGTTCACGGCAGCACCGTGTCACGCTGCTCTGAGGGACACACACCCTGCACACCCATCTGTAGCAGATGAATATTAAATGATGAGTGGACACCCACACACCGGGACACTCCACAGCAACCACAATGAATACGTGCAGCACGGATGAGCCTTACAAACATCACGTGAAAAAGCCAGACACGACAGGACATGAGTCGTCTCCCATTCGATTCTCATAACATACCAAAAGCAGAGAATAGCAATAATCTATGCAGTTAGAGGTCATGACAGTTTGGCCTTTTTTCCAATTTTCCATAATTAGCAGACTTCTGCAATCAAGAAAAAAAAATCATCTCTTTAAAGAAATCAAAATGATGACTTAACATACCATACACTGCAACATCTCTTTCTGTTCTGCTTATTAGGTATTTGTGCAACTTCTGCAGGTATTCAGGCTCCGGGACAGGGCCGCTGAAGCTGTGCACAAAGGTGGCGGCGGAGCTGTAGGCCTCGAGCAGGGGCCCCAGGAGTCTCTGTAAGAAGGTGACGAACTGCTGATGCTCCTTGGACTGGCTCACCTGAGTGCGACAGCGGGAGACAAAGTCACGTGGAAGGAGCAGGAAAAGGACAAGCCGCGCACCTTCCTGAGGCTTCCCCTGCAGCGGCGGGAGCCGAGCGGACGGCAGCTCACACCGGCACTGCCTGAAACGTGGCCTGGAGCCTGTCCTGCGGAGAACTACCGCCCCCCACCCCCCCGTGGGCTCCGGAGAACTCCGTGGTCACGTCATGCCCTTTTCCAGTAACAGGCTTGCACTGACAAGTGCACGTAATGCAGACCTGCTGCCCTCTGTGAACAGAGCAATCCAGCCACCATTCGCTCTCCAAAGCTACAATTAGAAAGGGCTTTTCTACAGATTAATGACAATCTGTCAAGAGGAAGAGGGACCCAGAAAGGACAACGGGCAATGACAACTACTAATTCATCTCGCTCCCAGACCCGGGACGGTTTCATCCTGCATTGATGAGGACTGTACAGAAATACTGCCTGCCAAGCAGAGACACAGCTGAGGGGACTTAAGTGACTGCACAGTGAGAGATGCCAGCTGTGACGGTCAGCCTCCAGGTCCTTGTCCCCTCACCAGTCCCCAGGCTGAGCAGCTGCAAGCCTCAACGCCACCCAGTCTGGTCCTCTTTGCTCCTCAGAAGCTGCTGGCTCGTGGCTTCTTCAGAAAGGAGCCACCACAGCCCCGGTTTAGCACCTTGCAGCATCCACCTCAGCTGAGCACGGCAGCACCTGTCACAATTCTTCGCCAAAGTACCTTCAGGTAGCAATCTCGCTGCTCCTCAGCAAAATCACTGTCTTCATCTTCTTCATCACTCCGCCAAGACAAAGGTTCTGGAAGTTTCTTGTCCCACTGTTGCTCACCAAGACCAGCACTGATATCTTCCTGCTCATCTTGCTGTGCGAGGAGACGACCAACGACAGGTAAACACACACGAGTACCCCAGCACCTGCCCAGCTGGACGACCCCACGCAGCACTCTCCCCATCGCTTCCCCCGCTCGTCCTCCTAGCCAGGCATGGATCAGGTCACTTCCCTCCCCCAACCACGTTCAGGAAACTGCAGGCAAGCAGTGGGCACAGGCACCGGGTAGGTTACCAAGTAGGTTAAGTTGGACGGGCCTCCCGTCTTCTAAACCGCCCTCTACTTCTGTAAGGCAGGACTCCCGCCCCACACCAAACTCACCAAAATTAAAACAAAATCTCAAGAGAGAAATATGAATATGTACGAATGACAAGGACACTGATCTGCGGCACAGCGTCGTCTTAGAATGCACACTGGCAGATGTCACAGAACCAAGTTGAGGTATGCCTAGCAGACCACCGCTGACACAGCAGGGAGGCACCGGAGGTCCCCAGAGACGGGCATTCTCTCCAGTCCTGTTTGCTCTGCTCTCCTCATCCGGACATGACTCCAGCTGACTAACGCAGCTGGTACCCACAGAAACGCTGATCTAAGTTAGCAGAAAGGCAAGCAAAGCGCGACCAAGCCAAGGACGAGCACAGCAAGGGCTGCCCTCACCTCCGCCACGGTGAGGATGCCGTACTGGATAAACCTCCCCACCGTCTCGTGGCAGACTTGGTAATACGTCTGGCAGGGCTGGAAAGAGAAGTTATTCAGCTGTAACTGTCACACTCCAATATTTCACTTTTTAAGCCAAAGCCACAAAAGGGACCTGTCTAAACATGAAGGAATTTCATGTTCATGGATAAACAAAATGAAAACATAAGTTTATTTTGCTACATCATAACTACATAGAGTATTTCCATAATACACATCTTCCATGGACTTTTTGGGAAGGTTTCTTGCATTTCTTCCCATTGCAGCACCTACCTCACTGCGGCATCGGGCAGGCCCTGGGACTGCCAAGTTCTGCCTCTTGATCAACGCTCGGTCAAGGGCACAGCGTGAGAAGAGACCTCCCTCACTCACTGCCCGGGGGAGTGCACAGCTCCAGGCTCTCCCTAGCCGAGCAAGCCTGCTCAAGGGCTGGCTACCAGGCCCCTCCATCCGCTCCCTTCCCTTAGCAAGAATTCACAGGCAAAAACAATCTCACCGCAACTGCTATATACAACCTTTCAACACCTCAAAAAGGACGCAGGGGAAACAGGAGATCCACACAGGAAGCTGTTTAGCCCCCACCAGGTCCCCTCAGGCCCCAAAGCTCCTGCACACACTCCAGCAGGACCCTGGGGAACTCCTCCTGCGCGCTGCTGAGGAGGGCTGGACTGCCAACATGCACGCGCAGATGTCTCAAACACGTTCACAGGAGGGAAAAATACCAGAATGCACGTGAAACACACATTCTATGTAACACACACGCTTCTGGGAAGTGGAAAGATGCCCCTGGGGGGCCTCATTCTCTGCATTTACAAACTAAGAGGAGGCTGAGGAAATCCATGATTTTCTCATCAGTAGAGCCAGCCTCCACAGGTGGGAATGTTAACGATTCACAAGCCACTGCCCCAGTGCTTTGGCTCAGAACTCTGGGAACACTGACCACTGATCCTCTCACTCCTTACGGCTGGAACACGCTGGTCAGCGAGTCCAGGTAAACAAGCGAGGCGACGGCATGTTGGTTGTGGGGGAAGGGCGTCAGACACCCTGGAGCAGAACACACAGCTTCAGAGAGGGACCAGCGATTCCGAGTCACACAAGTGGTTGATGAGAACCGAGGACAGGGAGGGGCCTCCACTCACCAGCGAGATGCTGCCTTCATTGGAGAGCAGGTAGCACAGGCTGGCGGCCCTGCGCACCAGCTGCTCCTGGCTGACCAGGCCGGCGGGCACACCCGCAGAGCTTCCAGAACCCCTCTTGTTCAGGACCGCGTAGAGACTGCAGGCTGAGGACAAAACAACAAAGAAGTCGCCACCTGTGGGTCTCCAGGAAGAGCTTCATCTGGCTCACACAACTCTATTCACCTGATTGTGAATACAGCAAAAAAAAAAAACCATGGCCTGCATCTGCTAGGGAGAATTTAAGTAAATCTCCATGGGATTCAAGTCTTAGGAGACCATGTGACCCAAACTCCATCGAAGTGGTCAACTAACTCGAGTCCCTTCTTCTCTTCTTCCTCTGCATTCTCGTAATTAAAATAACTCCTTCTGATCTCAGGTTTCCAGCTCTGCACAGCAAGGCACACCTTACTTCTCAGGAAATGTAATATTCTGTAGATGGCAATTTGGTAAACACTCCTTGTAGTCATAGTGACATGACAAGAGATTACATTTCCTTTGGAGTCTCCCATTCTAGCCAGTGTCCCACCAAGCAAGACCCATCCAAACGGACACGGTCACCGTTGTGTGTCTGAAACCCTTGCACCGTCCCTGACCAAACTACAGGGCCTGACATACCTAGGATGGCCTCCATGATAAAAACTTGCAGGACTCCATTGCTGTAGAAGTTGAGTTCAAAGACTGACGGGACAGTTGTGCTGGGAGTGATGAAAAATTCGTCATTCCTGCTAGTGGGGGTGATAGCGACGCAATTGCCCAGCAGCTGGAGGGCGTGCATGACCACGTCTTCGGAATTCCCTGAGAAGCCCAGGTCAAAGTCACGGGCCAGGACTTCCTCCTTCATCACAAAGAAGTCTTCCACCAATGTAGAGAGATTAATTCCCTAAAGAACAGACAGAAATGACCTGGTTGGTGATGCCGGAGCGCCTATCTTTTCAAAGACCAGGAGGCCAACATTTCAAGAATTTTCTTCTTGCTTGCCTTGCCTTTCCAGTGGCTCACTGTTGGCATATATAGAAATATATGGGCCACAGCAGCCATGCAGAAGAAGCCGGAAAACTGCTGAAAATGCTGGTCCCTGAGGAACGTAAAGCTATTCCACGCTCGAGAGCACAGGGCATGAGCACGGAAGGTCAACAGAAAAGCAGCTCAAAGGGGTGCTTACATTTTAGCAAGAAATTGCTTATTTCAAAAATCTATCTGGTTATCTACTGGTGCTTACAAATACTGGCACTGTGTGGAGACTGTGTGGTTATGCACCAGCCATCACCTCCCCTCCCACAGAGCTGCGACCAGTGGCCAGTGAGAGGGTAAAAGGCGAGTTCTCAAGCATAAGTCCCTTAGAAACAGGCCACTATCAGGATATACATCTCAGAGCAATGAAATAAACTTTATTCACATAAAGCAAAGAATCTCTTATTACTATATGTACGACGCAGTTGGATTACCTTTTTTTTTTTCAAGCAGAGATCCTCTTCTATCAGATTAAGAACTCCTTTGGGCAGGGTCCTTGGCTTATTTCATAGCTTATCTCAGAGTACTTGACAGGAGGGGCCCGAATCAGCCTTGGACAACCAGCAGAACTGCCCCCTGCTTCCCGCGAGCTGCAGCAGATGCTGCAGACCTACCTGGCGGTGGCGGTACAGCAGCAGGCAGGCCACGATGTGAGTGGACATGATGGCGCAGGACTTACTGGCAGCTGCAAGGCAAACACAGACCTGCACATGTATGTTCTCTGACACTTCCAAGATACTGAGTTTTACACTGAGTATTTACAACTATAATGTCTCCTACCATGGCTCTTCATGCTGAAACTTAGCAAAAGGAAGTGATCACATTACAGAGCTCTGGCACAATGGACGTCATCAGAGATCAGGACCCATCACGTCATAGCCTGACACTGGGCCGCTTTCGATCCAGCCCTGTGACATTAACGGCTGGAATGGTCCAGAGACAGCTTCCCCGAAACACTAAAATCTGAAGCCTATTCTAGGAGTGGCCTCCAGGCAGTCCTGTTTCCATAAGCCTGGACCTGCTCCTGGCCGCAACTGATGATAAAGGCAGCACTGGCCCCCCTCTTCCTGTAGGTGTTCAACCCCTTAAAGTGAAGGCACAGACCCGAGGGGGAAGAAAGAAGTGGACTGGAAGTCAGCCAAGTCGGGGCTCACATCCTTATTTCTATACTAATTCCATGACTTGGGCAAATTAGTTAAATTTCCAAGCCTCAGTTTCCTCATGGATCAAATGGAAATACCACCTCACTACGTGGGCCAGTTGGGAATGACATGAGGGCCTGGCACAAACCCTCTAGGAATGGGTATGCAATATATTTGCATTATTTCCTTTCAACCTGGCCCAGAGGTGAGGAAGGACAGAAACAGCGTGTTTGAGCATGACTGCAGAGTATAATGCCATTCTTCAATCACAGAAAATAATCATCATCGAAATTATCCATGAAATAAAGGTATTGTTTGTGATTTTCAGAGATAATAATGAATTCATGAAAATTACACTCATAGCTGAAGTTGTCTCTGGTGTATAAAAATAAAATCCAAGGACCCTGGCTGTTTAGGTACGTGCCACCTGCTGGGACCTTTATTTTGAGCATCTAGACAATCAGGAAGCTTCACCTTTCACATCACATCAGGCAGGGGAGACACAAGCACATTGCTAGGGAAGGAATCTGTCCAAAGGCAGTGGGCAAACGGAGCAGCGAGAGCACATGCAGCAAGAAGAGGGGAGGGAGCCCAGAGCATGGGCAGGAAGTGGCCGGTGACCGTGGATGGAGCCAGGGCCCAGCCGGCCACCAAGGTGCCACGAGGTTCCCTCAGCATTTGACGGCAGCCTGCACCAAGGGACACAGGGGATGCTAGTTCTGCATCCCACCTCGCTTGGCTCTGGGCCACTCCCACACGTGCACAACTCCACTGAGCAGAACAGAGCTTCTCAGAGGGCGGAACCATTCGTAGTCACTTTGCAGTCTCAACAACTAACACAAAGCTCTAACCATAACAGCCACTCCATATCGGCTGAATGAAAATGTTCCTGGAGTCAGAGAAAGGGACATGCAACTTACAAAGCTATATCAATTTGTATAGTACAAATTAGCTTAAAACAACACATTCATAAGCAAAACAGGCCACAAGGTCATTCTGATAATACCATTTTTTGTAAAACACATGAACTAACACATGAGCAGCTCCTAAAGATCAGAAACTATGTGAGCTGTCTTACTCAGATCCTCTCAATCCCCACAGCATCACCTTCTAACACCCCATTATCACCACTGGGGAGTTTGGCAGTGGAAGTCAACCTCAGCAGACTCTGAAAGCTGTACGGTCTGGACTGCTGCACCACACTGAGTGTGAGCTGTGGGGTTACAGAGAGCAGCCCTCCACTTACTGAAGAGGATGTGCTCGGCCAGATTCGAGATCAGCCTCCTGCGGAAGGATTCATCGGCTGCATTTCTGGACTCATTCATGGCTGCATCCACACCTTCGTCAGCAGCATCACTGGGTCTGCAAAATGGGATCGAAGTCAGCCTTCCATACGCCTGCTCCTTTCCAGATAAATCATATAGGTTAATCTAAATGTATGAGGTATTTTGAATTACCATCTTTTAAATCTGAACAATAAATTATGTCTATGGATTGTTCTACTCTGTAATATAATTCATTAATGTAAAAAAAAAAAAACCTCTACTGGCCAGCTAAGTTGTCTGTCTGTGCCTCCCTTCCAACATTCACAAGCAAGAAGATTATAGAGGCTGATGTCTCATTTTACAGCACTTTCAAAAATCAACACTTTGATGGGACTGTCACAGCAGGTTGTGCCCGTGGCCTGCGACCCCACCACCTCACATCAGGGTACCAGTTTCTACTCCTTGCCGCTCCATTTCTGATCCACCTTCCTGCTAATGCCACTATGAAAGCAGTCAATGAAACCCCAGGGCTTGAGCTCCCGCCACTCACACGGGAGACCCAGGGAGAGTTCAGGCTCCCAGCTTCAGCCTGCTCCAGCCTTGGACATGGCAGCCATGTGGGGAACGAGCCAGCAGAGCAGAAGCTCTCTGTGTCTCTTTCTCTTTTCTTCCCTCCCTTTTCTCTCTCTCTCTCTCAACTCTACCTTTTAAGTAAATGCTTAAAAAGAAAAAAATGTCAACACTTCATATTAAATGAAGAACTTCAACTTCTCTAGATTAGGATTAGAATTCAATGTGGATTCTGAAAAATCCAAATAGAAAAACTCCTTTACATGTTCAATCTATGTACAATTTGTATAACTTGAAGTACCATCAAAAATAATTCAAAGACTCAGAAGCACCAATGAGATCTCCTACATGACCCTCAAACTTGAGGAAGACTCTATATGCAAATAATCCAAGGCTTCCAAACTCATACAATGACATGTCATTACTTCAATACTCCTGATAAAATCAAGAGAAAAATTTCTTCCATTAGGAAGGGAATGAGACGATACATTCTTTTCATAAAGGTAACCTGTGTTTAGGTCCAGCATAAGAAATAAGAAGAAATAAGAAAATAGCTCAGTAGGTTTAAGAACTCTGCAGATCTTACCTTGAAGGAAGTATAGCTGGCAGCAGGGCTTGTTCCAAAGAAAGGGGAGCAGTCACAGGTTTTTGACTTTGGCTTTCTAAATATTCCTGAAAAAATATACATAACACGTTCCATTCTATCTTACTCCTCTACAAACATAAAATAGAGTCAATTCTTTAAGAGGTTAAAAGGGAGTAACTTATCAAATGAGTCTTGGCATGAAGCAGGGAAACTAGTTCCAATACCTAAAGCTATCTTCAGCAGTCTGGAGCGATTCAAAGAATATTGCTAAACATGAAACTTAAGAACAAAGACAGAAAGAACAGAATGATTTTTAAACAAAATCACCCAAGAAACTTAAAAATCTAACTTTTCTCACATCTTCAGGAAATTATTGACATTATCAAAAGTACTAATATTGACAACTGACAACCATACTTAGAAGAAATATTTACTCAGTATTCAAAAGGACCTTAATCCAAAAGCAAATCATAACTAGAGAAGCTGTGTACATTTAAAAAATAAAAGTGTAGTAAGAAATGAGAAGGCTCCTACGAGTGGAAGGCATTTGAGACCAGAGGCGCTCTCACGTGCAGCTAAAATCTTCTCAACTCAAGCCAACATGCAGAACAGACAGATGGCCTGACCTCTGCTCCACAGCCCTGGGCTCCCCAACGCCTTCCCTGCTCCTCTCTGTCCACCAGCCCCACTAGATCTTAGGGAGTCTGAAACGGCAAAGACCTTAACACCTCCTGTCCCGCCTTTCAACAAGACTGACACCATCCCTGGGGACATGTGGGTACTGGGTTCTGCTCAGTAACATACAGCCTCACTCACCCCAACACTCAATTTCACTCAGCTTTTAAATCTGTTTTGAAAATTCTCCTGTAAGCACAATTTTAAAGCATAACACACTGACATATATTATAAAGCAATAAGCAAAACTCTACAAATAGCAAGAAATGTTGAACCAGGTGTCTCACCAAGACAGACTCGTTGTCCTTTGTGCAGGGCAAGGCTGGGGAACGTTCTGTCTGCTCCCTGCCACTTGGGTACTTACAGTATCATTCATGGAACATATATAATTAGTAACTTAGGCTTAGTCCTTACAGGAGAGGGTGGACCAGAGGTCCCACATCACGCAAAAGGGGATCACTCGAGCCAGACTGCATCCCAGCTCTCCTGATTCCAGGCTGATGTTCTAACACGGCTCCATTCCTGCAGACACTCACCTTCAAAGAAAACGGCTGTGCGAAATCCACTCGGACGTAGCCATAGTTTTTCCTTAGCATTCTAATGACACCTCTTGCTACACTCCACAGGCTCTCATTCTTCTTAGGCTTGCCCTAATTTCCAATGTGGGAAAAAAAATCTATAGTGAGAAATAAAGCTAACACACACATTCTGTTATCCAAAGGTATTTTTTTCCACTTTTATTTATTTTGAAAAGCAGACAGACACAGAGATCTCACACGCACTAGTTCACAGTCCAATGCCCAAACAGCAAGGACTGAGCAAGGCTAAGCCAGGAGCTGAGAATTCAATTAGAGTCAGGAACCCAAATACTTGGAGACATCATCTGTTGTCTTCCAGGGTACACATTAGCAAGAAGCTGGACTGGAATCCAGACACTCCAATAACAGGACATAGGTTTCCCAAGTGCCATTTTTCTAAGATGTATTAATTCAGAAAGAGAGAGATATTCTATCAGCTGGTTCATTGTCCAAACAGCCACACGAGCTGAGCCTGACCCATAATGAAGGCAACAGCCAGGACATTCATCCAGGTCTCCCGCTTGGGCGTAGTGACCCAAGTAATTGGGCTCTCTTCCACTGGTTTCCCACGCATGGTAACAGGGAGCTGGATCACAGGTGGTGCAGCCATACGAGATGCTGGCGTTACAGGCAGCATCTTTACCCATGACACCACACTGCTGGTCCTCCTAAGCACCACTTTAAACCACTGTGCCAACTGCCCATCTTTTAATTTTTTTTAATGAAAACTGGAACTTCACTGTGAAAAAGACAACAATTAATGGAAAGGGAAAAAAGTATTTAAAATTGTCTGGTAGTCACAGATGCTATGAAATGATGAAATGTAGTGTCATGGGGGGGTGATACAATAAAAAAAACCATCAGCACATGTTAATTCAGTACAATACTCAGATAATTTACAAAAATACAACTGTAATTTGTGAGAAGACAACTGATTGGATATATAAAACAAAGAGAGATTTCCAGGAAAGGGTGTGGAAAAAATGGATGGGTTCCATGGATGGGCTTATGGGAATTCCCATAATCTCAAGTCTCCCTGTTTCTGATATGTAAGCTCCTCAAAGCCACTTCCCTTATCCTATGTGACCTCAAGCTATAAAAGCCTGATGCCACTAATAAACATCAGTATTGACCATCAGTCAGTAGTCCACACGTATGATTATCAGCTCCATGCACCAAGTCCATTGCTGCTGGACAGTGAACAAGAGGAAAATAAGACTGAAAAACTTCCTGTAACTCTTGGATAAAACAAGATGCTGAGCAGGCACCACAGCATAGTAGGTTAAGCCTCAGTCTGTGGCATCAGCATCCCATATGGCTGCCAGTTCTTGTCCCAATCAGTCCACTTATGATCCAGTTCCCTGCTGATGGCCTGGGAAAGCAACTGAGGATGCCCCAAGTGGGAGACCCAGAAGCTCTTGGTTCCTGGCTTCAGATTGACTCAGTTCCAGCCATTGAGGCCATTTGGGGAGTGAAACAGTGAATAGATCTGTCTCTCTCTCCCCATCTAGCCCAACCTGTCTTGCCTTCTTTCTCTGCAACTCTGCTTCTCCAATAAAAATAAATCTTAAAAAAATGAAACAAAACAAAACAAAAGATGTCAAAGAGGTCCCTTATCTGAGGTCTAATTATCACCAGTCTAAATACAAACATCAGACAACTAACCCAAGGCCATAGCCAACCTCATAGTGGCCTTTGAGTGAACTATCCATTCCTGAAACATTACTGAGCGCCATGTATGATAACCCAGGCCTATCCCTGGACTTGGCAGGGTCCTAGGAACATTCCTCCAGGTATGCTCACACTGCAGCCAAACCACAGGCCTGTGATCCACATACCCTTGCTACTCCCACACTTCAAAGTTCACAAAAAAAAAAAAAATCCCTGCCACATCTCAGATTAATCTGTACTTGCTGTAATGACATAACCCACCATTTCTCCAGTTTCTCTTAGCATTTATACATAAATAATAATCTCTGGAGAGAAAAATTCACCCATCAATCCCCAGAATACTGAGAAAGTCGGCAGCAAACAAGCGTTTTTCATTTCCTAGTCCCATGACAGACTGGCATGGACCAGTCCAGTCTGGCCCCTTCCTCCAGGCTCAGAAGATACCAGCTGGGCACCAACCACCATGCTACCACAGAAGGCGAACACCCCTCACTGTGACCACGCAGCCACATGCTAGGCAGTGGTTTCAGATTGGGTACTACCGTAAGAACAAGACTTAGCAGATTCTAGAAGCAATGCAAACCATGAAAGCTCAATCTGAAAAATCCGAAAAGTCAGGGTTGCTCACGTGTGGGCAGGGCCCTTACCAGCTGTTCGCCATTGTAGTGCCCTTCAATGATCCGGTCATAGGAGATTCCCACAGGGATGATGAGGATGTCTGGGATGGTGTTGGTGGACAGTGTGTCAACCACCACCGAGAGAAGCCCAGCCCGGGCACAGGAGGTTTTCCCACTCCGGGAGCGTGTGCCTTCCAGAAAAATCTCCAGGAACTGCTGCTGTCGGAGCAGTTCAACTATATGCTAGGACACAAGGAGACAAAGTGGAAAATGAATTTGCACATGAAACAAGACTGTGCAACTTAGGATGAGGTCTGGAAAATCGCAAAAAAAAGCTAGGCAAAAGCTCTAACTTCACTACTGACAAACTCTTCCCACCAATAACTGCATCTCATCCTACGCTTATATTGTGACTTTTTAAAAAGCCTTACAACTCAGGGAACAGCCATTTATAAATCTCAACTTGATGCCACGTCTCCTTTTCCTTGCCCTGTGACAGCTGACACGACTGCCTTCAGGTGAGTAGGGACATACGTACCCCGTGCAGCAGGGCTCTGTAGAGGATGTCTTTCCGTCCGTCGGGTGTTTCATCCAGTCTCCGGCGTATGAAAAAGCCCCCAAGCTTGTGAATCAAGGTACTAGAAATTCAAGAATGCATGAATTGTTTACGGGGAAAAATGTGAACAGCACACTGAAATTCAAAGGGACTGATGTTTTAAACATCAGTCATGTGAACACAAACCACATGTGCTGTGGGAACTGCTGACAGTAAGAACGTGGACCATTTCCCATTTTCCACGCTGTAACCCTGCTTCACCCACTTACATTATTCATAAGTCTATGGACCGCTGTTGTACATAATGAAGTTGCATTACATGTCTTCCAAGGCAAAAGGGGCTGGCATGATGTATTAACCCAGATCTGCTGGTACAACTTCTAAAAGGATTATGAGATGCTTCTAGAATACGCAAACCCTGTCCAGAGACTCAAGACAACAACAGCTGAAATGTGCCCCTGGCATGTTTACCACAAGATGAACATGTTATAAAGCTCCCTGCAGGAAATCTCCCCAAATAGCTAATGCTTAGAGAGGCAGGGATGAGCCTGTCAAACTGAAATCAAGCATAACCATCTTTCAAACCATGAGCCAAAAATCTGCCTCATTTCCACAGAGGAATAAAGCAATTCTTTGCACAACCCCATGTCTCTGTTAGCAACACTGATGGATCTTGATACTAGGTTGAGATTTTCTAGGTCAACTTTAACAAACTCATACCCCTTCTTATTCTTTTCAAATATCGTGATAGTAATATAGATATTAATTTATAGTTTCGCTTCCCTTTACAGTCGGTTTACGGAGTCCTAGGTAACACACTGTGAAACCTCAGTAAGAGTACTCCGACCCTAAAACACTGCAGAAAAGCTCCCAGTGACTGAGATACACCATCCAGAAAAAATAACACATTTTGAAAAGTGGAGAAGATCAGAAAGAAAGCTCATAAACAGACCCGGTTATCCACAGTGTCCTGGGTCTGAAGAGAGGAAGAACTAAGCAATGACGGGCATTGAGTTCACAAATAGAAAATAGAGACCATGAGAGAATATCAGTGTTTTTAGGCAATCGCAAAAGATCCTGGCTGAGAACCAGATCTGCAGAGAAAGAGCAATGCGTGATGCCGGCTACAGGAGAGGCCAGCTCTGCTCAGGGCCGTGGGAAGGCGGGGCTCTTCCGCCAGCGACTTCCTGGCGGCTTGCTAATTCAGCCTCCCAGATTCCGTGACAAAGAGGTTCCCTGGAAAGAGTTAACTTGGAAAATAAACAGATAACTCTAATGTCTAGAAAAGCATTTCAACCTTGTTGGTTCCTATCACTTGGTGGTATCACCATTTATTTGTCTAGATACTCCGTTAGACTGTAAGCCACTTGAGGGCAAGGTCACTGGAGAATGCCCCTCTTATCTAAAGTTGGGTAATATCACTGCTGCCAGGAACGGTTTATCTGATGCTGGCTGGTCACATGACTCTGAATGCTGACAGGACCCTGAGTTACGGCATGAAGAGCTCCTCGGATTGTAAGGCTGAGGATTGACTTTACAAAACAAAATCCTTGTTGAATGCGCGGCCCTCTTACTCAAGCTCTGCTTGCAGATTTCACCTGAAAGATGATTTTGCTTTTCACTGTGAAACCAATTTCCAAAACCAACTCATCCCATGCCCCTCTTGTTGGTGCTGAGACCTACTATTTACCCAGGAGAGCATCTGGGGTCTTCCCCACACCTCTCCCCTTGGCTGTGCCTTCCAAGAACAGCAGTGGGTGCTACAAATTCAATTTATTAAATATTTCAAAGTTCTTTTCAAATCTATTCCCTCCTCTATAAGAAAACGTTGTACCATACTCCTAAGCAACAATGGCTTTTCTACTTACTTACTTGTTAAATTCTTTATTTAGTGGAGGACCAAGCTTATGATTATAAGATAAAGTATATCACTACAAAAACTAAAAGAAAAATGAAAAAAGAAAAAGAAAAGAGAGGGTAGGATGGGAAGTATTCTCAAAACTATGTATTTGAGGATCCAGCATTGTAGCCTAGTGGCTTAGCCTTGCACACACCAGGATCCCATAAGGGCACCCGTTCGTATCCCAACTGCTCCACTTTCCATCCAGCTCCCTGCTTGTGGCCTAGGAAAGCAGTCCAGGATGGCCCAAAGCCTTGAGACCCTGCACCCATGTGGGAGACCCGGAAGAGGTTCCTGGCTCCTGACTTCGGATCAGCACAGCACTGGCCGCTGCAGTCACTTGGGGAGTGAATCATCGGACAAAGATCTTCCTCTCTGTCTCTCCTCCTCTCTGTATAACTGACTTTGTATTAAAAATAAACAAATCTTTTTAAAAATATCTATCTAACTACATATTTTTTAATACATAAAATTTACTAGCTTTATTCAAAAAAGGAAAAAATGCTTCATTATCACTTGCTGAACTTTGGTGAAAGGAGCAGAATTGATCTAAGGCCTTCTTATTTGATTTAATCTTTCAAACTGGAAATCCAAACATGTCATTCCTTGAGTAAAGGATGCTCTCTAAACTCTTGGCTTAGCAACTGCTGCTCTCTGGTCCTCACCACCAAGGCCAACACGCCCTGCCTCTGACCTCTGGTCCTTCCTAGGGCACCCACACTCCTCACCTTGCCTGTCCACCACATCCTGACCCCGCAGTACTCTTGAATCTCTGCCATTTTATTTGTTATTTCCTCTAAATGGAGCACATTCCCCAAAAACGGCTAAACACTTTCTGTTACACCGCCCTCGCCACGGGCATCCATCTCTACTACACGAGGCGGCCCAAGGAACAGGTGAAATGCAGAGTGTCATTCTCCTTTCTACCACTCTGCCACTATCCCTGCCTTAGCATGCTTCCCTGCCACGAAGCTTGCTAATTTGCTGTCACAGCTTGCCAACTGTCTTTTCCTCATTTGATAAATATTCATCATGCCCTTAAAATCTACATACTGAGAGTTTACCACAAATTCCATATAAAATGCATGGATAAACATGCTAGTCTTAATATGGTTTTTTGGGGGCAGGGAGCTCTCTAAATTTTACACCATAAACATGCACTGCTTTTACAGCAAAAGAAAAAAAAAGTTAGCATCATAGCATAGATCAAAGGGTATATATTAAGCATCAAAAATGCAAACCACAATCTTTTCATAATTGAAATTTCAAAACAAACTGATCTTACCTGAAGATTGGAATGTTGAGATTATTGCCTGAGGCGATGTAAGGTGCTTTGATGTTATGGCAGAAGAGAATGAACGTGAGCAGCAAATAGTCAATATGGGATCTATGAACCGGCAGGAATATAAGCGGCAAATTCGTCTAGTGAAGAGAAGACACCAAACTTCAAATTCAAGTTTAACATTCAATCACACTTTACAACTGCCTATTAGTGACAATCACTCCAACACTGGGTGGTCATTGATTCGCCCTCTAAAAAAAGTTAATACTATGAACTCAGTGAAGTTTCCCACTTCTCTAACTACATACCAGAAGTGAGCGGGGATGGAAGGGGGAGTGGTTCAAGTTCATCCTGTGCTCACATACTCAGGCTTGGCCTGCCATGGAAACCTGGGCTAGGCCCTATTTCTGATTGGGACTATTCACCTGTCTGTGCCTCTAGCTCATTACCAATAAGCAGGGACTGCTCAGATTTTCAGGGTTGTTATGAGGTAAGGTGCACAAGGAATCCCGCCTCTGCGGAACCCCTCCTCCGAGGCCTTCCTCCTCCCCAGGCATAGATCACAAAAGGACCATCTGCAAAAGAACTCTCATGGCCGCGCTGCAAGCGTAGGGGAACAGAAAGGTGGAGTCCCAGAAATTCTTGCCTCAGTTGCAGCTTTAACCATCTCAAGCTGGCCCTTGTGAATCTGAATGTTCCAAAAAAAGCTGTTGAACAGTTTGAGCAGCACCCACCCAGTCAGTCTGAAAGAAAAGAGAGACAAGACAGCAGCTAAAATACAGACAATGCTCATTTATATATATATATATACACACACATTATATATTATATACACATACATATACACATTATATATATAAACACATAGTTAACTTTCATCTAAACTTTCTGAACCTAAACCCAAATACTTGTAGATGACTTCACATGTCTGTTTTTGCACACATGTGCATGTAAATGACTTACGTGTGTGCACACATCTGAACTGCAGAACCAAAGAACTAACCTTATATAGTTATTCAGATATGCCACATATGAGCAACTTCATATTTCGTAACTTCACATTTTAGAAGTGAATGCCCAGGCAAACATTTAGTGAGCAGAATGGCTCCTCTAACGCACACAGCCAGTCCTTTTAAGACAGGACATGCGAAGCCTGACTCACAGCCAGTCTAAGCGGATGGATGTCAGCAGGGATCTCACGGTTGCTAGCAACTAGCAGAGACAGAAGCAGGTTAAAGCACCCCCCAGGGTTCCTGCACAGGGATGCTGACTAAGAAGAGAAAGGAGAACAGAATGGAATGCCAGACACTGGTACATGTTCAAGCAGAGTACCGTGTGAAAAAAGGGCAATCGGATGACTCAACGCTACCTGCTCATGGCAGGATAGTTCCGGCCTGTGGTCCTGGCTTCACTTTTAGTACCTACCTGATCAGCCCCGGTGAGACTGTGGCAACCATTTCCTGGAGAATCTTTCTGGCTTTCTTTTTCACCTTATTGACGGCTTTTGATTGTTGCTGGTCAGACCCATCAGGGTTTAATTCGGCGGCTACTTCTGCAATCGCCTCTTGTACTCTGATTTGAACATCAGAAGAGAAAAGTAACAGGTTATACACTGCACCCTGTCGGTATTCAGCATTTTCTAAACTGCAGTTATAAATCACAAAACAAACATATGTTCTCTTTGCTTTGCAGTAACACAAGAGAATACATTCAAGTTGGAAGCTTGTCGGTGAAATATTCAGAGATGCTTAAATTGACTCGGGAGCCTTCCTAGTAAATCAAAAGAACCTTAAGGAAACTGGAAGAGAGGCTTAAGAATTTCAGCACAGTTCACTGGGTGATAGCTACCGAAATCTGAAATTTCTGACTGCGACAGGAGACACAAGATTGCACTCCACAAAAGGTTAAAAGGTTATTTCTTTAGTCAGACTACTCAGAGACATGCAGACATTCACTGTAACATATGTTTCTCTTTCTCAAAATTAAGAATTTATATCTAAATTTCTCTTGTGAAGATCAAAGAGGGACATATTTACCATGTTTTCATTTTTCCCCAGTAATTAAAAAACAAAAAAAAACATGGTTCAAGATCAAAACAACACAAAACACTAAGCAGTGAAGAAAGGAAAATTTTTATTCCAGTTTTGTTAAGTTTCCATTAACTTAGGAGAGAAACCCTGGAGTTAAACCACTTCTAACATTGCATTAGCAATCAAAACTGGTGGAATGAAACGTACTTGAAGATATAATAATTCAGGAGAGTTTCATGTTTTCTCTCACGATGGCTACGAAATTGTGAACTACAGAACATAGATGAGACTCTACAGAGTACCTTAACTCATTAACACGAGCAGAGTCATTCCACAACTTAGTCATAAGCTCCACGCCTTCCCTGAACAACACTAGGCACATTCCGGCCAGGAGTGTTTTCCACAAGTCATTAACATCACTGTTACACTTCTATCTTCCAACTTCTCACTTGTTCTTTTAATAAACATTACCTGAGCACCTACTGTGTGCCCACTGCTCAAGCCACGCTAACTACACACCTACCAATGACTATTTTGTTTTCAAAGCAGCCCCTCAATCCATCCTGATCTCCCACTCCCCAGATTCAGGCCAATCTCTAACATGGGCCATGTTCTTAGGCTGGAAAATCATCACTAAAATCTTAGTAAGATTCTGACCTTGCTCTCAGAGAAGCTTGCTCACAAATGAGAGTGGCTGATTTTAGCTCAAATAGAATAGTAGAAAGAACTCCCTGGAAGCAGTGCATTTTGTTTACGATAACTTCCTAGCACGGAATGTGTACCTAAGTACTCAATAATTATTTGATAAATAGGAAGTCCTTCCTATAAAATAGAGTGCAATATCTGCAACGTCGGTATCATAGAAAATGTAACAGAAAACTCTGGAAACACACACATCTCTGAACTCTCCTTTCACATGGCATTAGAAACTCATTCAATTACTAATCCTTAAAACATGACTGTGATTCCCACGTGGCACCGATCACCACAACCATCTGTTCTTCCCCTCTGCAGTCGTCTCCACAACTTAACATTTCCTGCTGGGAAATGCGAGCTCTTCTTGGGACAGGGTTCCAGACACACTGAAGATTAAGGTGAATGGCTGGCTCACTCCCACCACCCATCCTCATCTCTCCCCACTTTGACAACAGTCTCATGGCCCTTACCTGCTGCTATTCAGCACATTTTCAGTCACGTTGGTGGCAAACATACCCTTATGCACATCTCGTTCTTGAACAAAAAGAACATAGGAGAGCCGTCTTGCAAGCCATCCTCGGTGCCTGCAACGGAAAGGTGAGTTAGCAGAGAAGAGGAAGGTATGAAGGCAGCTGCTAAGTTCATGCCTCAGTTTGTCTCCTGTGAAAACCAAGCCTGATAACATCCACCTCTACAGCAGTCTCCTTGACAGCACAGGATACTATGTAGCTCATTTTATTCAGGGTTTCTTTCTCACATTCTAAGCTGAAACCAACTTTGAATTGGTTTGCTAGTGCTTGAACTGCGCTATTTTGCTGAACAATAACCTTTCTACAATCCCAAAAGGCGGGAAATATCTGACTTTGTTCACACCATGAAAAGGGCAAATATACTGAATGCTGTATGCAATATACATATAATACATTCATCTCAAAGATAGGCGCTCACACAAGCAAGGACACACACAGAGCCATCCCTCGGTGTCTGAAGGGATTGACTGATTCTAGAATGCTCACAGGCAACAACATGTGAGGATGCTGAAGTCCCTTAAATACACTGGTACAGTAGCAGCATCAAATCTCTTGAACGCCCTCTCATATACTTTACATTATCTCTAGATTACATATAACTTACTCCCTTGTACAAGGCAAACCTATAAAAATAGTAACACTATATATTTTTAGGAAATAATCACATTTAAAATTATACTTCTTTAGTTCAGATGCAACTCTTTGTCCCCTAGTTTTTTGATGTGCTGTTGGTTACATCCATGGAGCACCAAATGTGTACAGAAAGGCTATGGAGCTTTTAATTCTAGCTAGGGGCTATAGAAAGATAAATTTGGAAGTATGCTTATCATGAAGACCTAACGCTTATGTTCTCATGGTACTTCTTCTAAGACAGCCCCTAACTTCCAGTTGAATTAATGAAGGTATTATGCATAACTGGGCCATGGCCTGAAGGCCTGGATTCTGAGATCACAAAGCCTGCTGCTTGTGCTGATTGGTTTTGTTTTTCTGTAAACTCAAATGTATCGCACTAGAGAGCGCATGTCCACAGCAGTGACAGTGACCAAGTGGTGTATACATGGGGGGGGTGGGGGACATGAAGACGATGTTATAACCAGGATGCTGCAAACCATCCTCATGTGGTCACTTAAAATCACTGCTAACGATTATACAACGCTTCATTGTGACAGAGTCTTTAAAAGATCTTAAATGCAAGTCGGCTCACTGTGAAAGGATCCAGAAGGCTGCCACTGAAGACGCAGAGTAACTCGGTGCCTGAACCATCTGCTCTCCTTCCAGCCAGCTCTCCAGCCAGCAATCCTTCCTGCCACTCTTTTTCCTCCTCCTTCGCCTCTATCTTCTGAAAGTTTGGCCTACTCTATTAAGTGTTCCTCCTAAACTCTTTCTTCAGGGGATATGTTCAGAACGAATATCAGAATGGGCAAAGTCTATGCTCCTTTTGAAATCTCTCTGCAATTGACCATACATCCTAAGTGTCAGGACAACAAGAGTAGCTTTCAGCTTTACTCATAAAATATCTGGTTACATCAAGAATAAAAGACTCTTTCTATTCATAGGATTTTAATATCAGCCATGCGTTTAAAAAAAAAGAAAAGAAAAGAAAATCTCAATGGATCAAGCTTCCTCCTTATTTTTTAGATGTAAAAGAGATAGAGAAAAGAACAGCCTGGGAATGAAATAAAAAAATATGTCTTGACTTTGACCATATTTCTATTTAAGAAAAAGCAAAACTTTGTTCACATAGAATAAGCTTTTGTGTGTGATCTCATTATCCTTATGGGCAGTGATATCAGAAAGCCTTCCCATTTAAATATGTGACTTCTTGGGTCATTTTTTCATAAAATTTCCAGAATATCTCATCACCTGAACATGTACTCTTAGAACGGTGAGCTCTGGTAGCTTCTGTGGCCACTGTTCCTCTTGATCAAAGACACTAACACCCCCTGCCAGCCCTCCTTCCTTATCTACCAGCCTGGATGCCCATTCAACAAAGGTCCTTTTCTCTCGCCCCCAATGGTTACATGCCCAGCTCCCAATGCCTGGAATTGAGAAGTAGTAAGTATGAGAAAGTCTTCAATGAATAATACATTCAACAACCATCCCCTTAATACAGGAAAATATCTTCTAAAACCCTACAGACCAGGCACATGTTAGGCACACATCCAGACATTCTACAAGACATTAAAACCCAGACTGCACAGAAAACAGTTACGTCATACTTTTCAGCTCCCTTCATATGCAAAACTGTTACATGAATAAAGTGTCCCACATAACATCTAGCAGTGGTGACAGTAAGATGCCACTGTGTAGCTGCACTGCTTCTTAGGTTTAGATAAAACCTCTTGTGTCAGAAGCTCATATCCTCCTAACTCCCAAAAAGATGTCCATTTTAAAGTGTACTGATTATCATGACTTTTTTTTTATATTTATTAGAACTGTAAAAAAATTTTCCTTACCTTGTGTGAGTTTCATTGATATAAATAACATTCCGCAAACCCAAAGATGGGATACTGGGGTTGAAAAATTTCTCCTGTACAAACCAAAATAAATAGAAGCATAAACACATAACCAGACTGGTGGTAAAGCACTCAGATTAGTAATTTTTGATTATTCTGAAAGTTCAAACATGAAGTAAGATATTGTTTCAAAACTAAACTGATGAGGATAAAATAGGCTTTACTGAAAAGAACTTTTCAGCCCTCAAAGAAGGTTACAAACTCAAAATTAATCCTTAAAACCAAAGCAATACTATCTTGCCTCATTGAAGGAAATACATTTTGCCTCATCATGCCCCACAACTCGATCGCCGAAGGATTGAATGCACAGGAAGCATAAGTCCTTGACAGAAATATCAGAAATTTCAGAGTTTACAAAATGTAAAATCATTGTGCTACATCCCATTCCATTACTGTTAGATTACTAAAGCTTCCAACAACCTCACATGTAAGAACTCAGAAGCGACTGCCCACTCAGTGAGAAAACACACATCCTCCAGCCACCCTCCTTGCAGCTAATCTAAAAGACAATCCAGAGAGTTCTGCTGGAAAGCCTAAACCTATGGCTTTACCCAAGTGGCAAAATGAAAACGTTCCACAGATAAAGGGTTGAAAAGCATTACACACCCTCAAAAACATGTGAGAAATAACTAAGTGACGCCTCTTTCGAGAAAAGGAAAATAATATTTCAGAGAAAGCATAGCCAAATGTCAGAAAATCACTACCAACATACTTTCAAACAATTTATTTTTTTAAAAAGAACATGCCATGGGAAAAAATTAAAATCAAGCTCAGTTCCAACTGGTTCTACATTGAGGCCAAACATCATGACATGACAGTGTCTATCCACACTCCAACCACCAGTAAGTTCCTATACTTTCTTCCAATGCAAAGAATTCACTGTGAAATAATAGTTCAGATATTGGTTTTTCTCTGATATTGTAGTTAAGGCATTGTTTTGAATAGATGAGGTGCCAGATCTAAAAGAAAAAGCCAAATGGCCTTCTATTTAAATCTTTATTTCCACTGTCCTATAAATCTGAGCTGGTCTACTCCATGGCTAGAAATTTCCATGATCTTTCCATTCACCACAAGTCTTGCAACAAGGCACTTGCTGTTTAACGAAAGCAATATTTGCGATGGAGCACCTTTGAGCTGACCCCAACAGTTCATGTAAACAGCTTGGGCTCCACACAAATCTCTTTTGTATTAAGAAATCGCTTTATAGCACGCTCAGAATTTTGCTTCCTGCCAAGCCAGTCCAAATGGAAAACTCCCACAGCAGTTAGCCTGTCACACAGCCTAGGAGCAACCTCTGTAGATAGCAGGCACGACGTTGGCAGATCTTCTGCATCCCTACGACTGTCCCACCCACAAAGCTTACCATCAAGAAACACATTACTAAAACCTCAGCAACCTCAGGACATGCAGTCCTACATTCCCGTGCTAACATGGCCCTGCCAACTGCCCGAAGAAGCACCTGTCAGCCAGTCAAGTCTTCATAAACAATGCACAGAAATGTGGGGGATACTGTCTGGCTTGCATTTTACACCAAAATACACACATGATCCTTCTTCAACTTTCATCCTCACACTTTAGTGCTTTCTTCATGATTATAGCAACAGACATTCAAACATCAGGATCTTCTCAAAAGCAGAGCTACAGCTTTACTTCTCCTTGGGTTCCACTATCTTCCCCGCCTCTTGGTAGGATTCTAACATTCAGTGCTGCAGTCCAGCATCTGGGGTGGCCATGATGGCCAGTAGGTTCAGCTGCTGTCTGGGATGCTTCATCTCATATTACAATGTAGGCTGCAGTCCCAGCACCTCCACAAGCAACTCGGCATCCCTGCTAATGTAACCCAGAAGGCAGCAGAGGGTGGGTAACGTAGCCCGGAAGGCAGCGGAGGGTGAGTTAACTGCTTGGGTCACTGTCTCACACACGTGGCAGACACACAGAGACTTCAAAGCTGTCTGTCGCAGGTTGGCCAGTCCTGCTGCTGTGTGTGTCTGGGTAGTGAAGTACGAGACAGAAGATCAGTGTCTGCTCGATCCCTCTCTCCCTCTCATCCCCGCCTGCCCTCTCTCGTAGCTCTCTCTCTCTCTCTCTTTTTTTAACCTGAGGGTTTGCTGGGGCTGGTACGGCAGTGTGGGTTAAGTCCCCACTTGTGGCACCAGCACTGCATACAGACGCCAGCTCATGTCCCTGCTGCTCTGTTTCCAATCCAGCTCCCTGCTAATGTCCTGGGAAAGCAGCAGAGGATGGCTTAAGTCCTTAGGCCCCCTGCACCCACATGGGAGCCCCAGAAAAAAGCCACTGGCTCCTGCCTTCAGCCTGGCTCAGCTTTAGCTGCTGTGGCTGTTTGGGGAGTGAACTAGCAGATGGAAGTTGCCACCTGTCCCTCTGTAATTCTTTCAAGTAAAATAAATGTCTGAAACATGTAAAGGTTTACAAATATAAAATTTTTAAATCTACCAACTCTGTCCCTGTCTGCACTGTTGGGAGACACCTCAGTGGCAGCATGATGGACTCAGGAATGCTCATGAAAGACATCCATTGTAAAACTGGAGAGGAAACCAGTGGGGAGGGGAGAAAACTTGGAGAAGGAAGGAAAACCCCAGTGCCTATTAAATCGTGTTATTAAAACAAAATAAGAAAAAAAAAAAAAAAGAATCCAGAACATGTAGAAGTTACATGAAGCTTCCCACTAACTCTTTAGAAGAGCTAACTAAAAATCAGACCTAGTCACCCTCCAAAAATCACACTAAAACTACAAAATAATCAGAATATTAACAAGTATTGGTTACGGGATTAATATTTACTCAATATGTCAATGGAAAGAAAAAACTGAGTCAACATTTTACAAGGAATATTTGGCTTCCAAATAGGGGTCTGAGGAAGTTACGTATTCCGAGTGAAGAGCCTGTGCCACATCTTTCATTGTGTGTTAGCAGTTGTGCACACAGCACTGTTCTTACCCAGCTCTGGGGAGTGCAGACGTAGCAGCACCTTCCGACAAACGGCCTCTTCCGACTCATCAGGCTTTCTTTCCATTTTAGGGTCGCAGACCTGAAGAAGGTGGATCTGAAACCACACTCACCCTAATAAACGTTAAGGAGAAAGACTGCGTAAGTGGCAAGAAAATGATACTTGGCCACCTAATCTCTAAAAGGAAGACATTTCTGTACAAGACAAACCTCAGCACCTTGTCTGCCCACATCTGTTTCACAGGGTGGCTTTTATTGAAGGGCTGCCTCCACCCATAACCAATACTCAGACATAAGCTTGGGACAGAAAAGAAAATTCAGGGCCTAAGAATAGTAACCAGTAACCACGACCACATCACGTTCCGGGCAGCATTCAAAGCCTTGAAAACTAAGTCGTGGGTGGTCACGTGGGCTGCTGACAGAGCAACAGGAATAACTTCAGACTTCTGGATCCCAACACTGCAACAGTTAGCCTTCCCTCCTTGTAAGCCACTCCCACAACAGAACTACAGGGGTCCTAGTAGTAAGAAGTTATAATACCACAGCTAAAAATATTTAACTTTATATATAAACAATGTAAACTCACATAACACTCCTAGATCCTATCAAGAGATTTTAAAAGCTGGAATTTAGAGTCAGACCCAGATTTACTGGTCTAAAAAATTTTCTCCTGATTTTATGTAATCACTTGCTCAAATCTCGCAGAAATAAAATTCTCAAAATAAGGGGAAAAAAATTAAAGCAACATTGTTTGAGATAATATTGAAAACATACCAGGTTTTGATGAAATATGAAAAATAATACTATCTATGCCCTCTGTACAATTTCTTATTTGAGGTTTATTTCCAATATAAAACTCCTGCTGACTGAACATAACTGTGGCAAATACATAACAAGAGAAAGAAAAAAAATTTCTTTATTATCACCCCACTGAATACAAATCAGGGTTTCTTTCTCCCACGCAAGAGCTTTCGTCTTTTAACATAATCGGCTGTTTTCTTCCCAATTAATACCCCAAACCCTGACATTTATTAGACCTGATAAACACAGTTTCTGTAGCTATTAACCTCCCTCGGATGCACACTGCTGCCAATCTTTCCGGCTCTAATACACCAAAATGAACATCCTAGGCTGAATTCTTCAACGCTTGCAAGACACTTACCCATTCCTCATTCGCATGTTTGCATCGACCAAGACTATAGTCCGAGGAATTGGGAAGATAAGAAACATCTATTGTGCCCAGGGTCAGTGCCGACTCATCCATGTCACCAAGTGTAACTCCCAAATCATGCGCTATAAAAAGAACATACATATATATACATATATACCACTCAAGCTCATGGGAAACCCAGACAGCAAGTGTCAGAACTCAAAAAGCTAACCCCTCCATTATTTTGCACTATGACAGGATAGCAAATGATATTGCAATACCACTACCATATTGAGTCACGATGCAAAAATTGACGTTGACCCATTTATATAAACTCAAAAAAACTGGCCTTATTGTAGACCTCTAGAAAAAATAGCTATGAAAAGTTATCTGCAAATGTATTTCAGACAAAAGAGGATCATTTCATTCTTGTTAATAATCAAACACTTTGAAGCAGGATGAACACACGTGTTTATTTAAACACCTGTTACATACATGCCCACAACCGACATGTTTTAACCCACAGGGAATTTTGCCTCAAATATATTTTGCAGTGTGAAAACCAAAATGGCAATTGAGTTTTCCACTGAAACTGAATGAAGCTCTTGAATTTTTTTGCATGCATACCTTAAAAGGAACGATGTTTTTACACTTAACTATAAAGCACAAAAAAATAAAAATTGTTTTGGAATAACTGATTTATCCATTTCCATTCTTATCTGTAAGCCTTTTTACACTCTAAAAGAAAATCTTAGGTAAGAATGAACTCCAAGAATAGCCGCCTGCTACCCTAAAATACAAAAGCTTCTTAGCGTAATCTCTATCCTTGGATTACTTTAGCTTTTGGCTGTGATTTGGCCTTTCCCATCTGGACAGTCAGGTGCAAGGTAAACATATTCCCTTGAGGGGATATTGTGATTTCTGCTCATTCCCCATATGGGTTTGCCGCAACCGCTGCTGGTCCTGTATTCTGTCCTTAACTATGCAGTAGAATTAGTAACAATCTAACTCGGCGAGCGCAGAGAGGAGCAAAGCGGGGCACCTGGCAGGGCAGAAAGTCCTCTGTATCCTACAGCAAAAATTCAGCGCTGGCCTGTGCGTTTCCGGTGCCAAGTGTCCATTCAACAGGGGGAGCCGCTGCCACCGGAGAAGACAAGGGGCCGAGAGATGAAGGGAGCAGAGTGTGTGCCAATAGGAAGCCCACGCTCCTCTCTCCCCTCCCCACAGGGGTTACCCAAGGTCAACAGAGGGAAAAAAAAAAAAAGCAGAAAAGAAAAAGAAAAAACATCCTAGAGGCTCAGCTCTGGCCCGGGGCGGACCGTGAGAAGCGCAGAGAGGCGGGCAGGGGATCGGCCCCAGGTCTAAATCCCGCACTGCTGGCCATCCGTGGGAATGTGAGCCTGCGCCAGCTGCTCAAACTCCCATGCCTTGGTCTCCCCATCTGGGAAACAGGCACAGGTGGATCCTAGCTCCCCAGATGGCCACCAGGACCCAGCAAGGGCACCAAGTGCCCAGCGCAGCATGGGGCGCAGGGAGCACGCAGAGCAACCCTCGGTGGTCACTGCCAAGGGATGACCTCCGGTCCCAGCTGCTGCCATGGCACCCCTGCCACCTCAGCATCCCCCCCAGCGGCGGGCATCTGGGTCCACAAGGAGCTCCCTTCTCCCCCTGCGAACCCGTCCTGCAGCAGCCTGGTCTCCCTGGTGCCCATGCCAGCATGAGCCCGGCCCATTTCTCAGAGGGAACTCCGGGGCTCGGGCCAGGGTAGGGGGACCCGCAGAGCCCGGCCCCTTGCAGGAGTCGTGCCAGGTCGGTAGAAGAAGGGCAAGGACGCACCTGTCCCGGCGCTCGCCTGCGCAGCCTCCCACAGCCCTGCGTCTCCACCCGGCCAGGCAGCTCCGGCTTCAGCGGCCCGCGCTGCCAGCACTTCACGCTGCTGCCAGTGCCTGCAGCACTGTCGCGGCCTGATGACGCGGGCGCCGCGCCGGAGTGGCTGGGCAGGGAGGCGGGGCCCGGCGCGTGGTGCGTGGGCCTGGAAGTGGGATGGGTGCAGGCGAGGGTGTGGGTGGCCGAGGATGGACCACGCTGCCCGGGCTATCAGAGAGGGCGTGCCTGCCTCAGTCCGCCCGTGGGAGCGCATGCGTGGACTGTGGGGTTGGCATGTAGATGTGTGACTTTAGGAGGGACAGGAGAGGCGGGGATTCCTGTGTGCAATTGCTCCAAAAAGGACTGGGGACCTTTGTGGTTGAGGAAGAAAATAGGATTGAAAAGAGAAGGTGTTTGACACACTCCCTTTAAGAAGACCAAGTGTCCCCCTCTCGCTTTGGGAGATACCACAGTGGGCAGTGCCAACCATAAAGAATAATGTTGTGTACATTTCAAAATCACACACACAAATGTTTGGGGAGCTGGATGTGTTACTGAGCTTTCATTGATCTAATTTGTAAGTCTTAACATTTTGTAGCCTATAAAAATGCAACCATAATTTGTGATTTACAGCGAGAAAAAAAAACGGATGTCTTTAAAGGCTCAAAGGAGTCTGAGTGCAATTTTGCCTACCGTTAGCCCCTCACACAAAATGGCACCAGGCACGAGAAGGTTCTTTCACACTATTTGTCACGCCATTGCCAAGGCCAGGGTCATCAAAAGGAGGAAATGAGAAGCAAGCAAGAAGCCTTCAGCATGAACAAGGATCTGCAGGTGGAGAGATAATCAAGTCCTATGTCCAGCCCTGTCCCTTCTGCACACAGTAACCCTAATCCTGCATCCAGAACAAACATCCATGCATGTCCATGCCAGCCACCCTCCACCCACAGCTCACCAAAAGCTCCGCTCCCAAGCCTGGCGCAGGAAGCCCCCACCCAAAGGCCACTCTCCCATTCTTCTGAGGAAGGCTCTCCACCCCTTTCTCCCTCTTACTCTCCCCCCCCCCCCGCCCTTGTCTCTTCACAGCCCATAGGTGCTGACACACCCACACTCCTACTTCGGTTCCTGCCATCCTCCCTGCAATTCTATAGTGCATTCCTGAACTGGTTCTACGGCTCTTCCCAGAGGCTCCAGCCCTCAGTAACCATGTTCTCCTGTGAAATCACCGTGGATTTACATTGGTGCCACATTTTGAGTCTGTCTGTCAGTGTTAAAGTAAATACTAAATAAATATTTGCTGAAGGGGGAGGAACAAGAAAAGCCAAGAATGCTTTCCTTGACCTTTCAACTTCTGTGTATACTTCCATTCTAAACTGCAAATATTGTCCTCTGCACCGATCTGAGATAACAGGAATAGAATATTCACATTTTTGCAGTCCAAGGTCCCAGCTCTATTCAATCTTACACACACCTTTCCAGCAAGCACACATCAAAGTTCCCAAGGACTGCATGCACACCAGGATAAAATGAGCTCCTATTCCAAAACATAATGAAATTGGGTGCGTGATTACTGGTCCCTGACAAGGAAAGAGGGGAAGAACACTGAGAAAAGCCTCGGGGTTTGAGGTCACCGCGCATGCGGCTGAAGAAGTGAAATGAGAAGGTGGCACAGGAGTGTTGCGAAGTGAGCCAGAGTGGGAAATTGGATCGTCTTACACAGAGTCCCTGGTAGGCAGCTCTTCTGTAACAAGTCATTGCATAAGGGTTGCTGCACATTTTGGGGAGGTGGATTGCAATGCCAGATGTTTCAGGTTACTTAATGAGTTTGTTTTGGAAATAGATGACACCCTTAGCACAAGAATTACAATAATTTATGACAATCCAATCTAGCCAGCCTAGACAACCCAGAGTAAGAGAACTGAATTTGCTCTCCTCCCTGAAACTACTGGGGTGGGGGGGAAAGAAAGAAAAAGAAACAGGCAAATATTAGATAATGGCTTTAAAACAAGAGTGCCCTGCAGCGGTATAAACAGTAACCACCTAGGACGGGAAGCAGCTAAGACTCATACCTGCCTTAGTTTACCACCTCAAGGGGTTGCCCAGCTCCATTCTCAAAGAGCTAAGCCGACTCACTGAGTTAAGAAGATAAAACAAGGAGACCAGACAACCTGGAGCTGAGAGCTGCAGCAAGGAGGAAGCCACAGAGGGAAAGAAGGTGCTGTGGGGAATTGCAGAAAATCATTTTTGAGAGAAAATCTTCTCTGAGATTTGTGTACTTGGAAGGCAGAATGATGGAGAGAAAAAGATCTCTCATCTACCGCTTCGCACCCCCGAAGGACCATAACACCAGACTGAAACAAGGAACCAGAAACTCCACCTGCGTCACTCAGGAGGCTGTCAGGCAGGACTAGAACCAACATTATAATATGGGACGCCAGCAAGCAGTAGCTTAGCATGCCACACTGCAACGCTGACACTTCCAGCTACAATCTTAGACTCTAATCATTAGCACATTCATGTGAGACAGCTAAGCAAGGCCAGAGAAAAATCACATACAAAGAAAGGATGGAAAAGGGGCTTGAGCTGGCATTAACAAGGAATTATTCCTTTTCCCACAAGACAGAGTTGAAAGGTGTCCAGGCACTACAGAGGACCAGGAATAGGACCTGATCCAGGCATTCAGCCTGACCTGAGCAGTCACGCCCTGAGTAGTGGGGCAAAATTAGTCTGCAAGTAAATGCTACTCCATTGCTGCTTAACAAATCTCAAAGGCCAACCATGAAAGAATAAAAGTGTTTGCAAGAATAAAATATCCCCCAATAAGCATAGACGTAGTTCTATCAAAAATATTTAGCACTCAATAAGGTAAATTCACAATGTCTAGCATCTAATCAAAATTACCTGGCATGAGAAAAGAAGCAGAAGAAAATGATTCTTAGTGAGAAGAAAACAAAAATCCGATGGGGGCTGGCATCTTGGCTCAATAGGCCAGTCCTCCAACTTCAAATGCCAGCATCCCATATGGGCACAGATTTGTGTCCTAGCTGCTCCGCTTCTGCTCCAGCTCCATGTTTATGGTCTGGAAAAAGGGTGAAGGATGATGGCCAGGTCCTTGGGACCTTGCACCCACATGGGAGACCTGGAAGAATCTCCTGGTCCTGTCTCCTGGCTTTGGATTGGCTTATGTCCGGCCACTGCAGCCATTTGGTGAGTGAACCAACAGACAGAAGATCTATCTTTCTCTGTCTCTCCTTTTTTATGTAAATCTGCCCAACTAAAAGGGATTGACACTGTAGCACAATGTGCTAGGCTACCACTTGCAATGGCATTCCA